ACCTGGGACTTCAGCGGGTTTAGGGTATCTAAAATGTACCTGGGACTTCGGCAGTTTAGGGTTTAGGGCTTAGGGTACCTACTAGGTTGTTCTTGAATGTACCTGGGACTTCAGCGGTTTAGGGTTTAGGGTTCAGGGTATCTACTAGGTTTTTCTAGAATGTACCTGGGACGGCTTTTGGGCCCGAAGACCATACTACGTAGGGCTTTTGGGCTATTTTGAGCCTTAGGGTTTTCAATACTGTTTAGGGTGTACAGGGTTTAGGGCTTAGTGAACGTCTCCGACCCAAGAAAGGTGTGGGGCATTCTGAAAATCGCTCAATCCTGACCCAGAAAGGCAACGCACAAGAAAAGCCGGAGGCCACCGGCCAAACAAGGAAACACTAAGTCGCCTCCCCAAAACCCGGAAACCCGACCCAAGTTGCCCAAAGCATCAGAAGTGAAATCTTCTTGCCTAAGCGCTGCACACCGGCCACCTTAACTATATGCACAGATTGAAAACTCTGAACTTACCTGACCTGTGAGGATTATACTAGGCAAGTAGCACTAGTAATTTCATCATAACCACAATAATCATTACGTTCCTAAACCCCTATATAAATCCAAAGCCGGCTGGCCGGAAGGAGGACCGCAATCGATCCGATGGGTTCGTAAGAAGCCTCGGTGCTTGGGCGGATTGCAACAAGGTAAACCCTAAACCCCAAACCCTGAACCCTAAACCCTGAATTCTAAACCCTAAACCGTAAGCCCTGAACCCAACTCCCTGAGACAGCAGCCTGAATCATAAGACTCGGGATTTCTCTGGAATTGTTCTACACTCTAAATGTGTCAACGAGCCTCATGGAAAAATGGCACTACACCCCTACATTGGCCATCAGAAACATAATACAGCTTAGCTCCAGAACTCGGGCCATGGGGTAAAATGATTCGGGGCTAAGGGCGATGTGAAACTGGTGTTCAGCGGTTTAGGGGCTTAGGGTATCAGTTTAGGGTTCAGGGTTCCAGTCTGGAGGTTTAGGTTTAGGGTACTATATAGTTCAGGGCTTAATGTAAGATTCAAGTTTGGCGTTTAGGGTTGAAGGGCGTTTGGGTGCGTGGGGTTGAGATTAAGGTGTGCGCCGTATTGCTTCCATCAACATTAAGCCTCGCCTTGTCCGGAAAGTGTTGCATTTTTGACTGAGGAGATGAACCCGCGAGATTGCCGAATATGGCAAGTCTAATCTTCAATCCGAAACCCTGAACGCGGAGGGTTTCGGGTTAAACGAGTCTAGAGCATAGGGCCTGAGGTTCAAGTTGGGGCACTTGTCGGACGAAGTCGTTGAAGCGCGGACGCCAACACCCCAAACTCCACCCTTACCCTCTTTAATAAACAAGCTGCGCGGTCCGCGCCTTGTAGCAGCTGTCTGACGTAAGCCTCCCTGAATTAGAACCCCAGGGCGGGCACCCTCTGAGTTACAATGGTGAGTGATGAAATGATAGGCAACAGGGCCCTGGCTAGGATGTCGAGGCTATTGAAATCTGAATGCTTCGAGGGACCATGTGATATGGAATAATCCGTGCCCTGGTCGTTCAAGTCCTCACAGAGTATATATGGGGACCTTGAACCTTGCAAAACCACGTAGTACTTATAAATTCCTCCCACAGATGCTGCCTGTGTACTTGAAACTTTATGTCCCTCGAAGCTCCTAAACCCTAAATCCCCCAGATCCGATGTACAGACGCTTGGGAGTTTCAGAAAATAGGGGAGGACCCTTAAATAGTAGGATCCTTACTATATAAAGACCCCTAAATAGGGTAGCCTAGTTTCCTGAAACTACCACTTAAGCCCAAAGCCAAAAGTCCGACACACACCCGGAAGGCTCTGACGAGGATGCTTTTGCTCTGCCAAGGGGCTGCTTCGAGAGGTAAGGGTACGCCTCTTCACATCAAGTTTCAAGTTTAGATTAAGGCTTAAGAATCGAGCTTCGGTGTTAAATCCTAAACCCTAAACCCCTAAACCTCAAACCTTAAGAGCAGGGTTTAGGGGGTTGGAGTAGGTGGGTTCATGGCGAGAATCGGCTCTAGGGCTGATGAGGGCGTAGCCTTCAACGGTGAACAGTCCCCGGGGCTGGTCTTTTCGGGTCTACTCTGGGGGCCATCTGGACTAGAATCGGGGTTCATGAGATTTGAACTTTGTGCGGCACTAGATGGGGGGAACCTTCGTTGTTTTTTTCTTCAGAGATGGAAAAGAGAGGGACTATTTAAGGGCATATGTTTACTAAATGCCTGTATCAAAGGTTCAGGGTCGACAGCCTCGCAGCTGGGAATGTAGGGTTTTTCGGGGTGCAAGCTCTTCGAGGGTCTGGAGGTTGGAATCTCTTGGTTTGGGTTTCGAGGCTACGGCGGCTACTGGGTGGACAGGGTGCTCGCAGCAGCCCTGCTTCAAAGTGCAGAACAACGGCACGTGCGAGGATGGTTGGAAAGTCTCGTGTCCTAAACCCTGAAACCTAAACTCTAAACCCTAAGCTCTAAACCCGAAGCCCTAAACCCTGAATCCTAAACTCTAAACCCTAAAACCTAAACCCGAAACCCTAAACCCTGAACCCTTAACGAACCTCATCGATGATGGCGAAGTCGGGATCTCCAACAAGGGCAATGCCCTCGAGGACGCCGATGGCGCGAATGATCAAGGCAAAGTAGGGCCTTAAGGTGTTTAGGGGCTTAGGGTCTTCTTTTAGTAAGATTTAGTGTTTAGGGTCTATTTTAGGGTTTAGGGTTTAGGGTTGTTTAGGGGCCTGTATGGATTTTGTTTGGAGCTGCTGCAAGCTTCGATGGAAACAGCTTCCCACGTATCGGTTTTGGCACAGGCTAGAGAGCTTGCGATCTCGCTTAGGGTTGTGCACTTGGGGAAAGACACGTGCTACGAAGGAGTGGTTGAAGCTTTCATGCCTTACTTGTCCAGTTTCCAAGGCCAACTACAGCGTATCCTTTGGGATTATACCGAGATTCAAAACCCCTAGAAAGCTGAAGCGTGACCTGGGATAAGGTGCAGGATAACTTCCCCCACGACTAAGATGGCGCTTTTCGCCCGGCTCTATGACACAACGCATGCTAAGCAGCGAAAGCCCTTTTGCCGACAAGCCACGGGATCCGGAAAGGAAACTCGAACCTCAGAATGCAACATAACATAATGTAGGGGCCTCAATAATTAGAAAAGGGTTTTGGGGGTTTGTTATACTATAATTACAATAAGGAACCTCCCAAATAGCATCGGTATTTTTCTTAGCCCCCTCTATTACATCTCCTTATACATTCAAGCTTCTATATTCGGCTTCAGGGCCTTTTTGGGATAAGGAACCCTGAGCCCTCACCGATCTGTAAAGGCTCTTTTGAATCCCGTCTGAGTCTGCATGGAACGCCTGTAAACCTATTAAAAGCGTAAGCTTGTAGATAGCTGGTTGGGGCTGACCCCTTAACCCCTTAACCCCTAAACCAGATAACACCGATAACCCCTAAACCTTAAACCCTTTAAGTCTAAGGCTTCAAGGTCTGAAGAAGGGGTTTGGAAAGCAGAGACTTCGGGTGGACTGGGGCTCAAGGCACAGTCTAGAATCTTAGAGAACCGCATCTCGGGTGCTTGATAGGGTGTAGGGTTTATAAGGTTTATAGGGTTTAGGGGTTTAGGGGGGGGTTTAGGGTTTAAGGTTCAGGGTTTAGGGGTTTCGGGGATTAGGGTTTAGGGGTCTAGGGTTTAGGGGTTAGATAGTATTGACACCTTGACATATCATTCCTTGGAGCTTCAGGAAATATTCCACATGCCGTACAGCAGTCAGGGTTCTGCGTGCTTAGAACTACGAATGATAAACCCCCCTTACAAATGGTAATGACGCTCCTAGAAGGCTAGAAAGGTGGCTCTTCCACGAGACCGTCCAGCAAATCTCAGTCAGAATCATCTTCAGCTCTGTAGGGCAAACAGACTAGCCCAAGTCGCCTGAACCCCCTTCTGAGGCTCTGCAGATACCGATAGCATAGGTAGGGGCTTTGATAATCAGAAAGTAAGGTATCTACATACCATAGAGACAAGAAGAGGATAGTACAAAATTATTAACAATTCAGGCCTCTGTTTTACATGCCAGGGTGTGGGGTTCGGGTGGTCGCCGGTCGAAGTTCAGGACCGGGTTGCTTAAAACGAAAGTGTCGAACCTAGTTCTATCTAGGAATTCGACTGCCGAATATTCGGGCCTGCGGCTCACAGGCAATGAAATGTAAACTCCTGATTAATAAAACCCTACACCGTATAGGGACTAGTGACTAGAATAATGATCGGGATCCTAATTAATGCCGGGGCCCTTACAAGCAGGGCGTTTACTCTGCATGGAGCCTACATGAGGGTCAACAAACCATGAGGGATCTTTTAGGTTGCGTGTTAATTTCGGAATCCTGGAGCCGAGAAGCCTAAACTAAACCCCCACACTTCGTCCATACGTACAGAACGAGACTCCAAGACACCTGGAATAAACTTTAAACTTGAAGGGATCCGTCTGTGGTTCGAAGTTTAGTCCTTAACTAAGGCTGGTTTTGTACGGTAGATTCCTTAGTTAATGGGATTGGGAGTCCGTCTTTTTGTTCTTTTGGGGGGTGTAAGTACAATGGAAACCCATACACTTTAATTACCAATACTATTCTCCGGGGTTCCTGAGTATGCTCATGCTCCTACGTAAATTATCTGCCAGGTGACGTGATCTGGGCCAGGTCGGCAGAGAGCTCATTGAAGTTGATCCCTCGGGCGCCGCCAC